CCAAGGGATACCACAGCTATCCCAAGACCATATATATATATATACCAGATATGTGACCTTGCTGCGTGAGGCAGGTGACCTCACCTACCTGCGCCCCACCCTCACCTGTTCCACCTCACAGACGTCATCTAACTGTCTTCAACAGTAATGGTTTCACTGTTGAAAAAATCCAGCTAGTGGTATATTTCTTGAGCTGATATTACGGGAAGGTACTGGTACTGGCACTGGTACTGGCACTGGTACTGGCACTAGTTACATTACCTTTGGTACTGGTTATATTACCACTTGTACTGATTATATTAACACTGGTACTGGTTATATTACCACTGGTACTGGTTATATTACCACTTGTACTGGTTATGTTACCACTGGTACTGGTTATATTACCACTGGGACTGGTTACCTTACCGCTGAAACTAGTCATCTTACGACTGAAATTAGTCAACATACCACTGGAATTAGCTACCATACCACTAGAACTGGTCACCATACCAATGGAATTGGTTACCATACCACTGGAAATTGTCACATACACTGGAATTGGTCACATACCACTGGAATTGGCTACCATACCACTAGAACTGGTCACCATACCAATGGAATTGGTCACCATACCACTGGAATTGGTCACCATACCACTGGAATTGGTCACCATACCACTGGAATTGGTCACCATACCACTGGAATTGGTCACCATACTGCTGGAATTGGTCACCATACCACTGGAATTGGTCACCATACCGCTGAATTGTCACCATACCATGGAATTGGTCACCATACCACTGGAATTGGTCACCATACCACTGGAATTGGTCACCATACCGCTGGAATTGGTCACCATACCACTGGAATTGGTCACCATACCACTGGAATTGGATCACCATACTGCTGGAATTGGTCACCATACCACTGGAATTGGTTACCATACCACTGGTAATTGTTATATGTGGTATATTGCCAAGAAGGGAAGTTGGAAAAGAATGGCTGTCCAGAACAATTGGTAAATATTATTGGCTGGACAAACACTGCAAGGATAATGCAGTACCATTCATTGACAACTGGGGCAACATCTACGGCAGTAATATGTATAACGGGGATGGGGGGTTCACTTATCTAGGACTGGTGTGGGTGCTCTAGCTAGTTCAGTAATGACATGTATAGCAGGGATGGAGATTCACTTATCTAGGACTGGTGTGGGTGCTCTAGCTAGTTCAGTAATGACATATATAGCAGGGATGGGGGTTCACTTATCTAGGACTGGTGTGGGTGCTCTAGCTAGTTCAGTAATGACATGTATAGCAGGGACGGAGGGTTCACTTATCTAGGACTGGTGTGGGTGCTCTAGCTAGTTCAGTAATGACATATATAGCAGGGATGGGGGTTCACTTATCTAGGATTGGTGTGGGTGCTCTAGCTAGTTCAGTAATGACATGTATAGCAGGGACGGGGGGTTCACTTATCTAGGACTGGTGTGGGTGCTCTAGCTAGTTCAGTAATGACATGTATAGCAGGGATGGAGATTCACTTATCTAGGACTGGTGTGGGTGCTCTAGCTAGTTCAGTAATGACATGTATAGCAGGGACGGAGGGTTCACTTATCTAGGACTGGTGTGGGTGCTCTAGCTAGTTCAGTAATGACATGTATAGCAGGGATGGGGATTCACTTATCTAGGACTGGTGTGGGTGCTCTAGCTAGTTCAGTTGAAGGAGTTACTAGGGCTTTCAGCTAGGCTTAGGAAAGGATAAAGTGGAATAACGTAAATACTGATTTAGGCTCTAATGTCACGGAATAATAGTCGTATAACAACAATGGATAAAGATGATACAAGAAACTGTTGAGAAGCTAAATTTTTTTATACTAACAGTGAAGTGCCAGGAACAAAATTAATGAAATACATTTGGTCGCACGTGATGGGAACTTTGATATCATTGCAATAACTGAAACAAAGTATAATTTAGAGTTTAGTTATGAGTACCACATTCAAGGGTTTATGCTCTGTGTATACAGACAACAGGAAGGGGGACGGGGTACCATTATATTGTCTGAAATAACCTCAACTGTTGCATCAAAACATATATATTAAAATCGATGGGTTAGATTTTTTTTTAGAAATACGTGAAACAATAGGAAAATTAATAATAATAGTCTAAAATTATATTTTAATAACATTTCGACGAATTAAGCAGCTTGAAGCATTTGCTGTCATCTCATTTTTTGATAAAATTGTAAAGTGACTCGGCTGCTAACACTAAATGTCTCATGAAATCGTGATGACACGACTGCAGGCAAACCATGGTATGGATGGGGTTAGAACTCATGGCAAGAGTGTGGTAAAACTCCAGGCCACTGGAGAAGCCACTGGACCAGCTGGCTACAATAAGATTCATCCAACTAGGTATATTTATACTCCATAGGAAGGCTAGCAGGAGCCACACGGGCCTGGAGTCTTACGACTTACTTGCCGTGAGTTCGATCCCAACCCATACTGTAGTTAGACGCTGAATCTGTTCAGATAGAAGTTCTAGGACAAGAATAATTATTATAGAAGACATGACCCGTCCTCCCTAACTTAGATAGCAACAAAGAGAGATATTTTCGGAATGAAATCGTTAAGGCTCCTAGACACGATGGTGGAGAGTTGAAAATGCTGCAAAATACCGAAAGTGCGGCTGTTGGGTATCTTTATTGATGAAAATTTTCAGCTATACAGTAGACTCTTCAGTCAAATACAGAGGCAGCAGATGTAGTAGTGAAATGTAGATGCAGTCAGTCCATCAACTAGGCTGAGGGACTGATTACCTCAAATAATTTTTCTTCGAGATTAATGGACTGATTATATCTTCTTTTCACTGCTACACCTTTTGCCTCTGTATATGACTGAAGAAGCCTTCTGTGTGGGCGAAATGTTCCAATAATAATGTGGCAGCTCGTAGCGCCAGTAACACCTGTACTATCGTGCCGCATCAGACTTCTATTTTTAATCGTTTTTTATCTTATTTTAACAAAAAAATAATAATTCGCTTAAAAATACATTGAAAACAACATACAATATATTTTTCCTGTAATATATTTGTCAGTTGTAAATTATTTTAGCGTTAAGTTGATGAAGTCATACGTCTGGCAGTGAGCGTCCGGGGGGACTGCAGCTCTGCAGCTCCAATGGACGAGCCGCCACTGGTCTAAATGTCATAATAATGGGGGATTTTAGCTCTAGCCAAATAGACTGGACTTCTCTGACTAGAAACGTAGAGTCCGGTGACTTATTAGACGTAGTTCCGGACTTTTTAAAGCAATTTGTGGCAGAATTACCAGAGATAATACTCTGTTATTACTGATTCTGACCAATAACAAAACTCTAGTGAATAATCTGGGGATCACTGATGTGCTGACGTCCCCGATTTTCATTCTGCCGATTATGATGGACTTAGGGAACATCTGTCTAGTGTCGACCAGGGTAATCTAGCTAATAATTATATTGAAGGTGATAAAATAACGATGAAAACCGTAAATATAACTATTATTAATAAAAAATCCGACAGTGTATATATTCCCCTGAGAGAAATTAGGTCAGATAAGAACGAACCCAAATGGGTTTACAGGAGGTTGACGCATTAAACTAGGTGAAGTAGAGTTTGTTAAATTAGACACATGTGCAACTCTTGGGTATCTTTTTTAGAAACGTTTCGCCACACAGTGGCTTCATCAGTCCATACAAAGGAGAATGGTGAAGAACAGGAGGAGAATGAGGTAATCAGTCCCTCAACCTTGAGTCGATGTGGTCAGTCCATCAATCTTGAATAGAATACAGGATATGAGCAGAGAAGTAGTTTGTACCGTAGGCAGGAGAGGTGCAGCAGTCGTAGGTGGTGTCACGACCTACTTCCACACTGGACAAATGTAACACCACCTACGAATGCTGCACCTCTCCTGCCTACGGTACAAACTACTTCTCTGCTCATATGCTGTATTCTATTCAAGATTGATGGACTGACCACATCGACTCAAGGTTGAGGGACTGATTGCCTCATTCTCCTTCTGTTCTTCACCATTCTCCTTTGTATGGACTGATGAAGCCACTGTGTGGCGAAACGTTTCCTCAATAAAGATACCCAAGAGTTGCACATGTGTCTAATTTATCAACGTGTCGGTTCCCCAAACCATTCATCCACATTCCGAAGCAGAGTTGATCATACAGACTGTGAAAAAGACTTGGGAGTCATGGTAAGCGGAAATCTAAAGCCAAGACAACAGTGCCTAAGTGTGCGCAATAAGACTAGCAGATTACTCGGATTTATATCAAGAAGTGTAAGTAACAGAAATCCAGAATTTATTTTACAGCTCTGTACATGACTTAGAAAGACAGGTGAGCAAACACCAGGAGATATTTATTGGCATGAGAACACGTAGACAATGTGATCATGTGAGTCCTGTGTTGTTGGGTAGGTGATGCTGTGCCAGGTTGACTAGATAATGTGATCATGTATCCTTTTTTTGTTGTTAAGGATAGTGAGTTTTGTTGAGGTTGCCCCTAGATAATGTGATCATGTGAGTCCTGTGTTGTTGGGTAGGTGATGCTGTGCCAGGTTGACTAGATAATGTGATCATGTGAGTCCTGTGTTGTTGGGTAGGTGATGCTGTGCCAGGTTGACTAGATAATGTGATCATGTGACTCCTGCGTTGTTAGGTAGGTGATGCTGTGCCAGGTTGACTAGATAATGTGATCATGTGACTCCTGCGTTGTTAGGTAGGTGATGCTGTGCCAGGTTGACTAGATAATGTGATCATGTGACTCCTGCGTTGTTGGGTAGGTGCTGTTGTGCCAGGTTGACTATCACATATGTTTGTGTTGTTAAAATGTTGTAGTTTCCAGTGTTATGATCTATGTTGTCGGTGATGGTGATTAGTGAAGCTTCCAGACATTGTCGACGTTTGAGATCATGTTCAGTCAGGATGAACTGTGTCTCATTCCAGTTCTTTAAATGTTCCTGTGGAGGACAGG